AACAGGTCTGCTCAGGCAGCACCAGGGATGCCCAAAATCCTCGTTGCCCATGGGGTGCACAGCATTTGCCTCTTCCCCCACCCCTGGCTCACCAACCCCATCTTGCCTGGTCCTGGCCCTGCAGAGAGGGGGCTTCTGTGAGGACCAGCCCCTCTTTCTGCCCACATGTTCTCCTTCCCACCACCACGAGCTGCTGCACAGAATCCCAGGTGGATTCTGTGGTGTGAGCAGGGCAGAGCAGAGGGGCAGGAGAAACTCTCTGCCCTACAACCACCCCTTCTCATCCAGCCCAGGATGGCATTGGCCTTCTTGGCCCCAAGGGCACATTGCTGCCTCATGGGCATTGCTGCCACCAAAATCGATAGTTACCAGCAACAACATCGACGGACTTGTTGGATGGGCCACAGTACAAGATGCACTTCCTGTCCTTGGACTTCTCCTCTTCAGGAAGCGATGTTTTCTCCTTCTCCATGCCATCCTCGTTCAGCTTATGGAACCAGTAGACGATGTGAGTCCCAACGACAGTTTTCCCCGTGCCTGGAAAAGCAAGGAGGTTGCCGAGAGCCACGACAGCCTTGCTGTAGCCCAGCACCGGGATGATCGGCCATGAAATTAAACCAAGAACTACGGGGGCTGCCCTGAAGAGCTGTGGGTGATGTCAACCCTGCTGCAAGGGTCCTATGGACAGCAACAGATCAGCTCTGACCTGCCTTTATAAAGAACATAGACAGGAATTCATGCCATCCCCAGAGCCCTACCTGGTGGGCCTTGGATGAGTGTGAAGGGTTTTCTCAGCGCGTCCCGAATGGCCTGGCTCTGGCTCTGGTTCAGCTTCCTGTGGCTGCCAGGGAGATCGAAGGATTTTTGATGCAGGATTTTGGACGCTGTCACTGTTAACAACCAAGAGCCAAGAAAACCAAGTTTAAAGGAGGTCCCTGAGGACGGCACAACAGGAGGACACAGCAAGACCACCTAAAAGTAATCCTTGTCCCATGCACAGAGGTTTTGCCATGAACCTTCTAAGCTTTGGGGATTAAAGCATCTCCAGGAGGGCATCTCGCACCCACATTGCCTGGTTAGCAGCTCCTTTCCTCCCCTTTGCAGGGGGACCTCCTGGTCTGGGAGCGTAACCCCCATGGAAGGTGTTGGGCACCTGCCTGGCCAGAAGCAAGGTAAGCAAGGTGAATATTTGGTGAATATTAAGTGATATTTGCACCTACCTCTTCTCGGAGGTTCGTGGCCGAGGACGATGCTTTTAGCAAGGTCAGAGGCATATTTGAGCTTCCAAATTGCCTTTTCTTTTCGTCTAACAGAGAGGGAAAAATAAGAATGACTGAGACGTAGCATAAAACGGCGAAAAATGTAACACATTCGTACAACCATCCTGGTTATTTTCTCTCTCTGCTTTGCTGTTGCATTAAATCCTTCCGCAAAGAACTTAAACCAATGTGCGCACAACTCTTGTCCTGCTATTTTATATCTGGGACTAATTTTTAACTGCCTGAAGAGCCGAGCCTGTGAAGATGTTGAGAGCAAGGGGCACGACGTGTGTCCCAGCTCCATTTTATTACAGCCCAAAGCCGTTTTATTGGATTAGCTTCCAATTTCCCCCTCAAATTCACGCTACAAAAGGAAGCACGCTCTGCAGCAGTGGGTGCGTAGCAGTCCATGCTGTGCACACAGACGGGCACATAGAAATCAGCTTTGATCAGAGCAGATCCTGCTTCACAGCAACAGAAAAGGGGAGCGATTGGGCAACCGGGGAGCTCAGCAAACCCTGATCCCATGCTTCACGCTGCTTTTTGTGACAAATATTGCAGCAAAATAGGACACAGATGCCCAGGGGGATCTCAGCACGGATGGGTTGACCGCAGCACGGGTGCTAAGCACACTTACATGTCTGGCAGCATTTTTGGTATGAGCTCCACCGTGAACCTGGAGGAGGCCTGGGTGATCTCCACGGGGATGTTCTCCATGGACATGTAGTGGATGTAGAAGTTCATGGTGTAATGACTGGTCCTGTCCGACTTCTCATCGTCGCTGAACTCCTCGGTGACGCCGTGAGCCACCCAGGTGTAGGTATCCGGATCAACCACAAGTTTGCTTTCTGGCCTGCCCTTGTCCAGAAGGTCCAGACTCTGGAGGCCGTGGCTAAGGCATTCCTCATCACTTTGAAGGCTCCCAAGCTTCAGCCCGCCCAGGCGAATGCACAGGTAACAGTTGCTGAAGTCCACCTCGATGGAGCACTCCTTCAAAAAATGCTTCTGGAGGAGGAAACTCCCTTGCAGCTGCCCTTTGCTCGTCCTTTGCTTTGCCCAGCTTATCTGGACGTTGTGGAGGACGATGGAGTCATTCTCGGCCACCGCGCACGACACGGACTCCATGGCGCTCATGGGCATCCACACCTTGCTGTACTCCGCCGCGTGCTTGTACCTGTCCTTGGACGGCAGCGTGGCGTAGGTGGAGAAGCACTCGATGGGTTTCTCCGTGTGCTGCAGGCAGACGTCGAAGCCCGGCGCCACGCACCAGAGCTGCACGAAGGGCACCAGGAAGCCCCGGCAGACGTCGGTGGCGAGCTGGAACTGCAGGGCATCGCCGGCGCAAAGCTCCAGGGACAGCTCCATGTAGTAGGAGCACTGGCTTTTGTTCACCCAGCCCGTGCGCCGCTGGTACAGCTCCTTGCTCTTCTGAAGGTGGGAGGCCACCGTCTCAAACTCCTCGTTTCTGACGGCTGTCAGGACTTGCTGCCACGTCTGGGTGCCCAGGAGGGTGACACTGTGGTCATGGAGGGGTCCTTCGCGCAGGCCGTGCTCCTTCATGGTGTCCGCCGAGTACACCCGCCTCTTCCACGCCAGCCTGATGCTGCCCCGCTGCTGGATGAAGGTGGGCTGCTCCACCAGCTGCAGAGACCTGTACGTGATCCGCTGCGGGTCGGGAAGGGTCTCTCTGTTGAGGGGAAACAGGGCTTGAAAATACTTGTTCGTCCCTTCCACATCCACCACGAAGGCGATTTTCTGCAGGGCCTGGTCCTTCAGCTGCGCGGCCATCTGCAGGCAGCGCACTCTCTTCTCGTACGCCGCCGCCTGCGAGTTCTTCCTGTTGAAGTCGTGGCAGAGAAACTCGATGTCATCCGACGAGTAGGCGAGGGGCTTCCTGCGCAGCACGGCGTGGAGGTGCCGCTGGAGCACCACGTCCACGTAGCGGCGGATGGGAGATGATGCCCAGGTGTAGGAGGTGACGTGGAGAGAGTAGTGGCCCACTTTTGATTGGACACTGGAGTTGGAGCGGCTGAAATAGGAGCGGCCCAGTAGCCTCCGGAACTCCAGGGCCACCGGGGCCAGAGTTGGGTGGATGTCATCGGTCACGATGAGGTCCAGCATCTTGTGGATGTCACGGGCACGAGCGGCCGCCTGCAGGTGCTCCCAGATGGGGGCCAGGATGCTGAATTCCACGTTTTTAGAGGAGTCTTGGCCAGGAGGCAGCTCCCTCAGGTGGTGCGAGAGATGAATGGACAAAGGGAGGATGTGGGAGTACTTGTTCTTGATGTGTAATAACTGCTGCGGGCTTGGCTTGCACTGGCACCGCAGAGGGGTGACATTTTTGGTGTCCTCCTGGTCGGTGAGGAACTTGGCCACAGAACTGTTGAACATGATCATCAACTCCTCTATCATCTGATGGGACCCCCTGTGGCCCGGGGAGCTCTCCTCATCCAGCTGGTCGTAGAAATGATCCTCCTGCAGCCGAAGCTTCCGTTGGGCCCTGGAGAAGTGATAAGCCACAGCTACGAGGTCCTCCAGGGTACGGAAACAAAGCGGCCGCGCCGGCCCCCTGTAGTGGTCCTTGATGCAGAGCTCTGCCTCCTCGTAGGACAGCTGCCGGTCGGAGCGGATCACAGAGACCTGGAAGGCTCTGTCCAACACCAGATCAGTCTCCTTTTCGACGGTGACAAGCAAGGAGATCACCCGGCGCTCCTTCTGCGGCAGGAGGCTGCAGACGTCTTGGCTGATGTGGGGCGGGAACATGCAGAGAGGGTCCTGTTTGGGGGCGTAGTAGGTGACACCTCGCTTCTTGGCTTCCAGGTCCAAGGCACTGCCTTTGGGGATGACACCAGCCACGTCCGCGATGTGGACCCCGATCTCGTAGTGACACCCCAGATCCCTAACGCTGATGGCGTCGTCCAAATCCCTGGCGCCCTGGGGGTCGACGGTGAAGGTCGGGTAATCCCGGCAGTCCGTCAGGTTCTCCTTGATGAGGTTCAGTTTGGTGCTGGAGCTGTATTTGGCCGACTCCTTGGTGACGGCAGCTGGGTATTTCTTCTCCAAATTGTACTCCAATTCGAGGATCTTTAGGCCTTCTTCCAAAGTCAACGCCGCATGCAGGACCTCCGTTATTATCCCCAAGGGGTAATAAAACCCTTCCCGCCAGGAGATAACCTGGACGCAGAAGAACTGGCATCTCCTCATCGCCTGGCTGATCTTCTCGCAGCTGACCACCCTGTACTTCCCGTTGACCAGCCTGCGGATGGGAATGACGTTGGGTTTCTCTTTCAGCCCCGGGACAAATATTTTGGTGACGGTGGGATCGATGGGGATCATCACCCGGGGGTCGAACTCGTCCATCATGCAGATGAAGGTGCGCTCCCTCTCGGCGCGCTTTAAGATGCCCACCACCTTCCCCTGCGGGTGGTGGGTGCCGCTGTCGGCCGTGCCGCTCTGTAGGATGGCCACCAGCACCTCGTCCCCCGTGAAGGCCGTCCCGCAGTGAACTCTGCCTTTGATCTGAATGTTCAGCACGGGGGAGTCGTCCAGGGTGAAGGCAGAAGCTCTGTCGAAGCCTTCTTTGATCAGCTCGCACCTCTTGTACATCTTGGGGTGCATGTGCAGGTACTCCCGCATCATCTGAGATGAGAAGCTGACGTATTCCTGCCTGTCCTCCTGCAGGCTGGAGGTCTCGGACCTCACGTTCAGCAGCCCCTCCTCGGACACCGTCACCAGCAGGTTCTTGCTCTCATCCAGCAGCTCCTGGAGGATGGGATCGTCAGGGTTCACGCTCTCAGCCTCAGAGCTCCAGGAATCGGTGTCGCTGTCCTCCTCGTCCCCCTCGGGGCTTCTCCTGCTCCAGCTCTCCTTGTCGCACACCGCCTGTTTGACCTGGGCCATGGTCAGGCTCTCCGGGGAGACGCTCCCCTTCTCGATGCATTTCTGGATGAAGCGCTTCCACACCTTGCTGCACTGCCCGTGGGAGCACAGGGCCACCGCGTCCCCCACCGCGACCACCAGCGACTGCGCCCGGGTCATGATGGTGTTGAGCACCCTGGCTTCGTTGAAGAACTCCAGGTGGTGGGAGGCCGAGACGCGCAGGCTATCGCTGGTGTGCACCGTGCTGATGATGATCACCCGAAACTCGCGCCCTGCACCAGAGGGGACAAGGGAGAAGTCAACGCGTGGCAACCCAACGGGGTTCAGCCCATCGACGCTGTGTTATGTGGCCGTGGGCTGATGTAACCTGGCTTGGCTGAGTCATGGGCACCGCCTGATGCGAATAAAGCCGCAATTAAGGGATCATGAGGGCCTGCAAGTGTGAGCCAGGATGGGCACCACCACCCATGTGCCAGGGAGCGAAGGGCAGCGTGGAGATGGGAGGAAAGCAGGGCGCCAAACCAGTGAGTGCCTATGGAGCAGCCCCACGTGCTCGATGCCACCGCCAGCCCCTCCTCAAAAACACAGGGAGCGTTTTCTGTGAGTCCCAGATTCCTCGGGGAACCGAAGGTCTCACAGGAACAAGAGCAGTGGCTGCTCACAAGGATCCCTCTCCCCTCGAGGACAGCTCTGCTGACAAATAACCAAGAGAGGCACCCTGGTGATTGCAGAGCTGGGAAAAGGCTGCAAGGAGAGGGCGTGGAGACCAGAAACCCACCCCAGGGGTCGGCCTTTCTCACCATGACGAGTCCTGGCTGCACCATAAGAAAATAATGAAACCAGGGATGAGTCAGAAACCAAATCCTTGAGGACAAAACCAGCCCTACCCCTCCCTGGCCACCCAGAGCAGCAGAATCCTCCGTTAGCGAGCTGGACTGCGGTTTCTGCTGTGCCTGATACCCACAGGACATGCTGGTTTCAATCCCTGCCGTTTCCAGCCTCCTCCACCGGGACTCGGGGCTGCACATGATTCACGCGCGTCCCCGGGATCACACTTACGGGGTTTTCACCCTCCCACAGAGCAACGCCCGCACATTTGAAGCGAGCTGACAGCTGGGCGCAGCTTTAATTCAGCGTGAAATCTTATTCACCGAGGGAAAGGCGAAAGCAAAGGCTTTGGCAACCAGAAGGAGATGGAAACCAGCCAGAGGGTTTGCAGGCACTGCCTCCTTGTCAGTGCTACGTGGGCTGTGGCTGCAGAGCCACGGGGAAAGGGGCACCACAGATCCCCTCCCAGAGCGGTTATTTAGCCATGAGATCAGCCAATATTTTGCATTTTAACAAGGAGGACAACATTAAGATGCTGGAAGAACTTCTGCTAACAACCCAATGTCTCTTCCCTGCCCGTTACGCAGTGGTTGTAGCTGCAAACAGACTCTCCTGCCCACCAACACGACTGCGAAAGTTCTCCCTAGCACACAGAAGGCCTCAAAGCACGGCCAGGCATGACCAGCTATTGCACAAGACACAAACCTGGCAAGTTTTCATAGTTTTCCACCACCACGTCTTGCAGCTGCTTTTTCCTCAGCTCCTGCCGTGTTGCAGAAACCTGGTGAGGAGGAACGGGCACAACTGAATGCGGTTTCAGCTCAGGAACGCCCCCCACCCAATAACCAAGGTCCTTCACCCAACACCAAAGTCCCTCACCCAACAC